CAACCCCAGCAGGGAATATGCGTATCAGAGGATATAAAATTTTAGTGACAACGTGCATGCCCACGAATGACTATGAAGGAGCTCCAGGCCTTGATTTTGGGGTTACAAATAAATTCCACAAGCAGGCAATCTGCAAACGCAGAATCTGTGAATGAGGGTTTCCTGTACATAAATTCTTGCCAAGACAGATCCACGACAGAGGATAAAAGGAAACTCGGATGTTGGGAGGAAGTCACTCATCTTACAAGTTCAACCAAAGAAAGATAAGTACTCTCAAAAACTATCCTGTGGGTAATTCTAAAGAGAGTGAAGATGAGATTTTAACCAGAATAAAGAGGATGGTCAAAATGATCTGTTCTGCAAGGAAGACTGCACCAAGGAACAAGGACAGAGAACCGTGTCCATGAGCTTGAAAGCTGACAGCTCCGGCTTTCCCTGGCATTCAGAGCAAACCAGCCATCAAGGTTCATTATGGAACTGCCACAGTTCTTCAAACTGGACCCAGAGTCAGGAAACCCATCAGGCTTAAGATCTTAAGGGCCCATCAGGCTTAAGATCTTCAGGAAAAACCTCTGTGCCATACGCATTTGGTAATACAAGAAAATCTCTGTACCACGGGACAAGACCATCCTGATTACAGAGAAGGCCATCCTGTGCGCCCAGGACTAGAGACCTAAAACATTCAGGCTCACCCGCACCCAAGCCTGAAGCCAAAGTCAGGTTGGCAACTGCGAGATCCGTTTCCACCTGCGATGGGGCTGAAGCTGCCATCTTCCCCCAGTCTGGCCCTGCCTGCTCTGCTCTGAGCTGGGAAAGCAGCCCCTTGAGATTTGAAGCTGGATATGTCCTGCTTCTTCTGTGGCCTGGACAAGAACAAAGACAGAAAAGAAGCCACTAGTCCCACTGCAGAGGTGACAGTAACCCATGCTGGGAATATGACCCATGACAGGCGGTGACTTCCTTAAAATGAGCAAGTATAGTGTTCAACACATCACTATGGTGAGGAACCTGTGTTCTTCATGTCAATCTGTTCACTTTCCAAAAGACACAGCCTGTGTTGCATAATCTCTTTATTTGGTTAAAAAAAAAAAAAAAAATGTCCTATAGATTTGAGGAAACTAAACAGACCTCCATGGGCCGTATCAAGAGACCACCAACCAGAATCACAGATCCAAACAAAACTCCACAGTTCATCCAAACTCCTCTTCATTTAGTCCTCATGTTTCACAGAAAAACCAATGACCAAGTGGGTAAGTAACATGACGCCGCCACTGTGGGAAAGGGTAAGGCAGTTCCTCAAAAATTTACCATCTAGTCCGGCCATTGCACTTTGGGGAAATGTCCCCAGAAAGTGCTGAAAATACGAACTTGAAGAGGGATCTGCCCTTCTATGTTCACAGCAGCTGTATTCACAATCACCGAAAAGTGGAGGCAAATCTCCCGAATGCCCACTGATAGAGGAATGAGCCCCGTCCATACAGTGGAACTGTCATCGGCCTCGAGAAGGAATTCAATTCTGACACGGGTGACAACAGGGATAAAACTTGAAGACATGAGGCTCTGTGACATGAGCCAGACACAAAAGAAGAAATACTGCATGAATCCACTTATATGAGGTACCTAGAAAAAGGGGACAAATTCAGAAACAGGAAGTAACACAGGGATGGCGGTGGGGGTAGGGGCCGGGGAGTTCAGTGTCTAGCGTGTACAGAGTCTCAGTCCGGGGAGACCAGAAAGTTCTGGAGATGAATGGTGGGATAGTGGTGACAGCCACACAACAGTGTGAATTTACTTAAATGTCACCGAACGGTCCCCTTAAAGAGTTAAAAGGGGAGGGCGCCTGGGTGGCTCAGTGGGTTAAGCCTCTGCCTTCGGCTCAGGTCATGATCTCAGGGTCCTGGGATCGAGCCCCGCATCGGGCTCTCTGCTCAGCAGGGAGCCTGTTTCCCCCTCCCCTTCTGCCTGCCTCTCGGCCTACTTGTGATCTCTCTCTCTCTCTGTTAAATAAATAAATAAAATCTTTAAAAAAAAAAAAAAAGAGTTAAAAGGGTAAATGTTAGGTTATGTGTATTTTACCACCATCAATCAAACAATAAGTAAATAAATAAATGCTCCAGGCACCTCATTAGCGGGCGACGCTCAACCACAGGGTTGTGAGTTCAGGCCCCACATTGGGTGCAGAACTTCCTTAAAAAATAAAAATCTTAAAAAGAAAAAGAAAAAAGCTCAAAAGCCAAGTGCAATTTTACCAAAGCGGGGCAAAGGTAAACAAGTCATAAGTCATTTTCTTGTAGGTTACATCCCACGACATCTTGCAATATTACGAACTTCTACTATGAACCCAGCAGCCATTCCAGTGACGACACCCGACCTGGTGCTCTCCCAGAACCAGGGATCAGGAGGTAGGGCCCTAGCCTAAGGCATGAATGTTCGGAGGGGCCTCTCAGAGGTTCGCTGAAGTGCCAGCTTCTGCCCTAAAGAGTCAGCCCACCTGCGGTGAAAAAGTGTCCTATTTCATCCCCTAGCAGGATTCTAGACACAAGGCAGTGTTTGAGGAGATCGGTCTTTCCCACGTTCCTGGCATTTCAGGTTACGCCTATGGTCTGACCCAAGCCAAGTCTTTTTAAGGGGACAATTCTTTCAGGCTAATCAAGCCAGCAAATTAACACCTTTGGGAGATGTTTACATGCAGCCAATGTGCCAGATCGGATCAGATTTCCCAAAGGCGAGTTCTAAACGTTAGTGGGGAGAGGAAGAAAAACAGGTGAACCACCACCACCTCACCTGGGCAGGAAAGAGCTTTGTGGGACTGAACCGTCCCCCCAAACCTGGCTCCCACGGTTAAGGTTCTCATAGTAGAGCCCTAGTGTAATTTCCTATTTATTTATGGGAGCAAAGCATGATCTAGCTAATTTATAGAGAAATCGGACCCGTCTCCTAAATGGGCGAAGGGACTACAACAGAATAAGCACGAGGAGGAGAAGGACAGCAACGAAGACGCCTTGACTGGGGCAGACAGGCAGCACTAACCATTTCCACATCACACAGGAGGCACATGAAGGTACATGTCACAGCCTCCACAGACACTGAGAAACCTCCGGCATGCCCACAATTCCAAGATTAATAGGACTCTGCTCAGAGGAAGAGCTGGAGGAGACATCTTGCGTTTTGCTAAGAAAAGTAGTCCTAAGAAACAGAAGCTCTAGATACGCAGAACTAGGTTAAAGAAGCAATATTTTAAATTTAAATTGTTTGACTTGAACTTCCAATAAGGATTTTTTTTTTAATAAGAATTGTATATATTGAGCACTGGCTGGCTCAGTCAGAAAAGCATGGGACTCTTGATCTCAGGGTCTTAAATTTGAGCCCACATTGGGTGTAAAGATTACCCAAAAATTAATTAATTAGTTAATCAATTGATTAAAAAGTATTGTATATAGTTAAGTCATATTTTGACAGATATACATTGAAAAATGAGTACTGCAGTCAAGCTAATATATCCATCACTCTACAAGCTTATCCTTCTGTGTGTATGGCGGGAATGCTTAAAATCGAACTCTCCTAGTAAATTTCAAGTATACAATAGAGTTAAAATGGAGTGTTTTTGTTTTTAAAGCAAACGGCCCAAAATAGAGAGCTATCCAGTTGTCACTTCTTCTGTCTATGGCAACTCCTTGGTAAAGACACCTGAAATCCTCACTCCCTCCATGATACTTCAGACCAGGGTGAACTATGGGAGAATTTTATGGCATTTCTCAATAAAAAATGCTGAACACATCAAATCGGGTCTTGTTATTGAAACAGCTACAATGTATACTAAATGAGAAGAACACAATGCCTAAAATAATAACTGAAATGGAAAGCAACATAAAGTACAACATAAGTTCTCTCAAAAATTACTAAAAACATTGTAAAATTTTAAGTTTCATCCCAAACATCAACTATTTTCTTTAATACTATTAAAAACAACCGGGGCGCCTGGGTGGCTCAGTGGGTTAAGTGTCTGCCTTTGGCTCGAGTCATGATCTCAGGATCCTGGGATCGAGCCCCATATCGGGCTCCCGGCTCAACAGGGAGTCTGCTTCTCCCTCTCCCTCTATCCTTCCTGCCCCCTGTCCCCCACTTATCCTCTCCCCCCTAAATAAATAAAATCTTAAAAAAAAAAAAAAAAAAAACATAACTACAGAACAGTGAATGTGTCTGACATGGATTCTATATTTTCCTCTAATTAACACAATTACACTGAACATGGTTAAGCGCTTCGTTTAAAAAATACAATTATTCCTTTTCTCAAACACAATCTGTTCTCTGAGATTTAATTTTACAGATCCAATTTCACAGACGGTCCCTTGTAAAATACAATTTTGATGTAAATGAAAGTTTTAATGAACAACAACAAAATTTCCATAAATACAACTCAGAGATTTAGGCATGACGACACTGGAAATTTCTCATGCCTCAATCAATTTGATCCTTATTTTTGATACTTATTTTTTAATTAGATTCCATTACCAGTAGAGTATTTTGCAACAGCCTGTAGCCAAATGTGATCAAAGGCAGGGGTGGTGATCTATCACAATAGATCAAATGTGATCTACTGATCACAATAGAAAACTTCCATCGTTTATCGGTAAAGTTCACTTAAAGGGGAAAAAAAAAAATTCCCCTGCTATATAACAAGATTCTCTGGTAAGGTATAAATGATTCCAGGGGGCACCTGGATGGCTCAGTCGGTCAAGAGTCTGACTCTTGATTATGACTCAGGCGCATGACCTCAGGGTCCGTCCGTCCTGAGACTGACCCTGCGAGAGGCTCCGCATCTAGTTCCGTGCTGGGTGTGGAGCCTGCCTAAGATTCTCTCTCTCCCTGTGCCCCTCCCCCACTGAAATAAATACATAAAAACAGAGATACTTTTTACAAAATATTTAATCTACAAACTTTCCCAAAATGTTTTGGATACTTGGGGTGAGGCAGGCGTCCTGCTACAAAATGACGCTTACCTTCTGATAAATCATGTGACACATGGCGACGCGCAGCCTCATGCCCGCGCACTGAACGTGGTAGAAGTACAGATGGTGCAGTATGGCCAGGATAAGCGTGCAGACAGTCAGTACCGTGGCGTAGATATAGGCTTCGTGCAAAGCCACAGCATTAGTAGGATCATGGTTTTCAAAATAATTAATAATTTTCCCCAAAAATATGGGCTGGATTATTTTGGTGCCTTCCTAAAAGGAAAGGAGAAAGTTGTAATTAGAAATACAGGTCCTACCAGTTTTTCTGAAGGTAGCTTTGCGTTTATGACAAGCATGTTAAAAAGGCATTTTAACAAAGTGCTACATTCATCACTAATCCCCAAAGAAAACAGAACTTTCTTTTATGTAAGACAACCAGATAATAGTTTAACCTTAAGCCAAAATTCTAAGTGCAAAAGTTTTAAAACTTTAGTTTCCTGTGCTTGGGGACACTGTGGGTGCTCAATGTTGCAACCTGTGTTTAGAACGCATTTGGTAGACTATCAGGTAAGTCTTGGCCCAAGATGAATAAGGAAAAATGGCAAAAGAAAGGTGTGGCGTGTGCTCACAGGTGGGCAGCCCAGCTCACTGCCTCCCTGCTGGGTCTCCGCCATCAACATCCCAGCCCAAAGCAAAGTCACGAATGGCTCATTCACGGGAGGTATGCTCTTACAACCTCCTTTCTGCATTAGAAGGGCTCTGGGGAACGGAGACACTGGTGCAAACACAGATCTGAGCCCAACCCCAAATTCCACATGTCAGTAGATCAAAAGAACGGAGTCCAACCTCCAACATGGGTTGGAGTAAGGAAATAGGACCAGGCTCAGGAGGCTCCCAGGCTCTCAGCCACAGGGGGCTCTGCTTTCAAATGTGTCTACCCCTAGAAGTTGAGCACTGCTGCCTTGGAGTCAAAAATTAAACTCCGCAGAAGGCAAGCTCAAAATAATGCCATCCATGGTTCGCCGTAAGCCATACATCGCAGGTGTTGGTTTTGAAGAATTTTAACAGGAACTCTTCCCTTCCCCAAAGCAAAAAATTAAAATCCTACACCACTGAGTTAAGGAAACGCTGGGGCTTACCTCCCAAATTAAGACGTAAGGAAAGCAATTTTTTTTTTTTTTTTTTTTTTTTTTTTGCCCTAAAACGAGAGGCAAAGAAACGTCAACCCTTGCCCTTCCGTGCCAAATGGCCACTCTACCCCACAACCTACATCTGCTCTTGTCAGGTACCATCAAAGAACGCCAAACACTCAGTGCAAATGCATGTCACCCAAAGTAAACACACAGACCTTCCACCACACTTCATCTAATGCCAAAAGTTTGGAAATCTTTCAAGAACTCCACTTTGAAACAAACATTTCCTCTTGGGCATTATTAACGCAGACGTGGCAACCAACCAACAGGTTCGCTTCTGGTGGCTCTCCTCTATCTATCCCGAGTGAGGAACCCACAGCACAGAAGGGCAAGGGAACCCCAAAAAGCCAAACCCGAGACGCAGCTAACATGCATTTTCTCCTCAACCAACCAGTGCCCCTTCAGGATATTGACAGAAAGCGGTTCCCGTCCCTGAGATGGATGTAACATTATGAACCCCAACACCACACGCATGCATACACCTGTTCTCAACCTTCACCGTCAGCCTCGCCTTTCAGGAGGTCATGGCCCTTTTGTACTACAAGGAAACGCTGCTCACGGAAGACAATCAGATCTCAAAAACACAAAGGCTCACTGCTGCGTGTCCAGCAGGCCCCATCTTTCATCCCAAGAAGCACTGAGTTTATGAAAGCAACCCGAATATAGCAGGCCACAGAACAGCTGATGGGATCACCGAGATGAAAATCTGGAGGCTAAAATGGTGAAGCGAGAACATCAAACTGTACACGTGGGCGGTCCCAGCCCAGGTCAGCAGCACATCACCCTGGGGCTGCCAACCGGGACCCCAGAGCTAACACCTGCTGGCCCAAACTTCCCTAAAACAGGATCGTCTCTGGGACTCAGTGCCTGTTGACTGGTCCTTGGCTCTCCATCTGAGCCTAGCATGGGTGTGGATATAGGAAAATACCATCAGAGTCACCCATCAGACAGAAAACAGACAGATGCAAATCCAGGGGGAAAGAACACAAATTAGGGACGCCTGGGTTTCTCGGTTGAGCAGCTGCCTTCAGCTCGGGTCATGATCCCAGCATCCTGGGATCGAGTCCCGCATCGGGCTCCTTGCTCAGCAGGGAGCCTGCTCCTCCCTCTGCCCCTGCCTGCCACTCTGTCTGCCTGTGCTCACTCTCTCTGACAAATAAATACATAAAATCTTAAATTAAAAAAAAAAAAAAAACACACAAAATAAAGGCAGGGCATTACCGCCAAACACTGGGATTTTTCTGCTGACAGTACTTAATAATTCATCAATCAAACACACTCACTAATGAGTAATGCCAGCTCGAGGCCCCTACCTCCCCACTCATCTGTCTATTCTTGATCCTTACCCTCAACTACGAAGAAATAAAACCAGGAAAATATGTATTATTAAACCTGAAAGTAACCATATTAAAACTTTCTGGAGAGCAGGAACGAGGTCAAAAATTACTTGAGCAAACACGCCCATCTTTTGACAGTCATCTCTGCCTGGTGAAGATTCTTCCCACAAACCAGCTGAGAATACGGTTTTTATTATTCCTTCACAAGATTTCTTCTTGACTGTAAAACCATAAGGGGTTTTTAGAAGAGCCCAATATGATACCACAACACCCCTTGGTTCAAGGTCCTATCAGAGTTTCAGAGTCTCTGAAGCAGGTACTTCTTAATGGAGCACTGGGCACTCAGCTCCCTGAAACACCAGACGTCTGAACCCTACTCTTGCTTCTTATTGGGGTAACTTATTACACGGCTAGATGCCACAACTTGCTCCATGCAGTGGAAACATTTCTTACCCAACCCCACCACGCCTGATCCAGGAGAAAAGAAAGCAAGCAGAGGAAACAGAAAGAAGCTATCAGACAAAGAGAAAATGATCGAGTCAAACCTAACAGCCAAAAGGTCAGCCTGTTTAGAACAGTCCCTCCCAACTTCCTGCTTTCTCCCATAAAAGAGCGTTGGGCGGACTGGCCTACGGTTTGGCCAGAGCTTGTTTGTCCCAGAATGCAACAGGCTGCCATTCCTGAATAAACCCTTTTTGCTGGTAATGTAAGTGGGAAGTTCTATGTTAAGGTTAACAGGGGAAAAGCAGTGAATGAACCCAAGAAGAATGAGAACCCCCACATTCTGTGACCATCCAGTCAATTAACAGCTCTTGAGCAACGATCACGAACAGCACTCCTCACATCACCCACACGAGAAAGACAAGCAGACAGGAGGTACCTAATCAGCGAGGCCCACCAACAGACCTACCAAATCAATCGGCAAAGGAGAAGGGAAGGGGAAAAAAATTGAGTCAGATCCAGGTTCTAGATCTACCCACTAATTCAAGGTTCCAGAAGAACACATTCCATGACACAGAGCCTAAGGTATGGGCCATGTCCTGACTATGGGGATCTCTCGAGGACAAACAACTTGGTGTCGAGTATTAGATTTGAAAAAATAAATAAAATTATAGTGAAAGAGAATGGAAAGGAACCTAGACAACCACTGCCAACCAAATGCACCTGATCTGGATATGGATTCAAACTGCAAGGGAAAAAAGGAAAAAAGGAAAGAAAGAAAGAAAGAAAGAAAGAAAGAAAGAAAGAAAGAAAGAAAGAAAGACAGAAAGGAAGGAAGAAAGGAAGGAGAAAGAAAGAAAGAAAGAAAGAAAGAAAGAAAGAAAGAAAGAAAGAAAGAAAGAAAGAAAGAAAGAAGAGATAGGAAGGAAGGAAGAAAGAGAAAGAAAGAAAGAATGAGAGAAAAAAAGAAAGATGAGATCTAGCTAGATACTGATGGTTTCTAGGATCAGTGTTAATGATCATGCATAATAATGGCTTTAGATTATATAGGGGAAAGAGTCCGTTTAAAGACACATTCTAAAATACAGATGAGGGGGCACCTGGGTGGCTCAGTTGTTAAGCATCTGCCTTTGGCTCAGGTCATGATCCCTAGGTCCTGGGACCGAACCCGTACCGGGCTCCCTGCTCAGCAGGAAGCCTGCTTCTCCCTCTCCCACTCCCCCTGCTCATGTTCCCTCTCTCTGTGTGTCTCTCTCTGTCAAACATATAAATAAACAAAATCTTTTAAGAAATTAAATAAATAAAATGAAATACAGATAAAATGATGCAGTACCTAAGAACTGCTTGGAAATACTCTTGGGAAGTAAGAGAGTGAGTGGGGTACAGAAGGGTCAAGACCGGTCATGAGCTGATACCCACTGAGGCTGGCTTAGGGGGACAGGCAAGCTTAATCTGCAGGAGAAGAATAGCCATTTTCCCTCAACCCTTCTGAGCTCTGGCCTGAGAAACTATAATAAAAGACAGATTAACAGGAGAGAAACAAACACAAGTTTATCAACAGGTATACCTCCGGCATATATGGGAGAGCCCCAGGAAAACGGAGTAACCCCCAGGGCCAGAGCCACCGCCATGGGGGTGTTTAACTGGAAAAGCATGGGAAACGGGGAAGGCTGACTGTGCTGACTGAGTTCTCTGCTGACAGGACTCTCTTGTGATTCAGAGCCACCGTCGTCTGCCTGGCACAAAGAGGGAGACATTCTTACAAACATAGGTCTCCTTTATAAAATTAACTGTCCCTTACAGAAGGGTAACTTCTGCTCTGTTTCCAGAATTTCTGTGACTGATGCTTCTCAAAACCAATCTTCTCAGGGGCACCTGGCTGGCTCGGTTGGTGGAACATGAGACTCTTGGCCTCAGGGTTGTGATTTCGGGCCCCACACTGGGCATGGAGCCAGTTTAAAAAAAAAAAAAAAAAACTGTTTAATAAGCACAAAATAATCTGTAGCCCAAAGTGGCATATTCTGGGATGGCATACTCTGCTATCCTTCCATCATATTCTAGGCTTGTTATTTTTAAGTGTTCCTAAAAAGTGACAGGGGCAGTGGGGGAGAAACCATGTGTGTGAACACGTATGAAGCAGTGGACACTGTAGCACAGAACCATTGTCAGAGAAAAAACACCTCCTCTCAGCTCTCTGCCCATCGTGGGCGGTGGCCCTGGCAGAAGAAGGAGTCAGGGCAGAAGGCAACAGGCACTCGTCTGGCAGTCGGAACATTTTGCTTCAGAAACCAGGCCGGTGACT